TTTTATGTACGCCTTTAATCGAGAATAGCAGGAAAGTTGCTTTAAATTTGAGTTAGCTTCTTCAAACAAATGTATATATTTTTGGATGCTTTTTTTAATTCAAGTTTTTTTTTCAATAAGCCAGCTAAGTGGCTATCTGTATATAAGAATGACATAAAGCCGTTTTAAGGGTGCGATGAAGTGCAAAAAGAAGCGTTTATTTATGTTTCGTTTGAAAGTATTGCTAAATGAATTGAACTAAGCTGAAAAGAAGGAAATGAGTTGCGTATCAGATTTTATTTTTTTTTTTATCTAAGATCATGTAGCGAAATTTACTTTAATGCTTTAAGGTTCTATTAGGATGGGGTTAGCATGATGTTTTTTAATCGACAATTGCTGCAATGAATGGGAGGTCAGAATGAGGAAACCAACTGACCCCAAACTAGAGTGTTTTCTATGATAATATTTATGCTATAGAGAAAGTAATTAGCAATATTCTAATTGGAAAAACCATTATCTTCGCCGATAGCCAAGTAATTTTGAAAGAAATTGGATCTCAGAGGTTGTACGGAACTGGCGTACCGCTATTGCACTACACTGAACCAAAAATCCATCTCTGTGTCAAAGAAAAGCTTTCCTTACTTTAAGGTCGATAATTCTTCCGAATGAGTAAACGATCCTCCCGAACGAGTAATTTTTCTTTGGAATGTGTAAAAACGTACACGAAAATATGGGACCGTGGATTTAATCTATCATTTTGAAGAAATGTTGGGCATGAAAAGAGGATAAAACTTCTTTAGTGCTATTTCGTTCCCATTTTTCTTCATTTTGATTGCTGGTTTTCTTCAATTAAGTGAAGGTTTTTTTGCGAGCGAGGCAGACAATAAAATGCCCAGGTATGGTAGACAGCTCTAGCCACAAAACCATAGTAGAAATCTGAATAATTACACGATAGCCGTTACAAATGACTTCTGGACCAAAGGAGATAATTGTGAGGCCTCGAGGTCTTTATGAAATAAAAAACGGTGGAACTTCTGAAACTGCACATATCCTTGGTAAGACGAATGCCATTGCAAAAGTTGCCACGATAAGAATGAGGATAAATCAAATTGCCACTGTCTGTGGCCATGTGTAGAGGCCCCCAGTCGAAGCGACTCAAAAACCTGGAATCAAGCTTCTTCGCCAGTCTGGCAGAGATAGTGGAGGTAGAAATCTTAGATCCGTTTCATTTCATTTGGTATAACAAGTGGTTCAATAAATTAACGACCAGATTATTTTTTCTCTGTTTAAAGGAACTCGGGTTCAAGTTCACAGGGTGTTCTAAGAATGAACTGAAAACATCCTAAAAATTCCAACTAAAAGAGGTAAAATTACGAAGAGTTTTCAAAATATTTTGAAGCGTCCCGAAAAAAAATCGAAAAATCTCGTTAAATCGCAAAAAGTTTCGAAAAATCCAAATTACCACGAATCGATTAAATTTTTTTTTATCAATGCACAAAACTAAAAAGCAAAAATTGGCGCTTATTATCTGGTCAAAGAATAAACGACAAATAAATTTAATCTCTGGTTATCGATAAATATCACTGTGCGATAATTTTTCTGCAACTGATTTCGATTATATGTATTATTTGGAAGTACTACATCAGGGAGTAAAACACTAGGGTGGTTGGCAAGACAGCGAGAAATAGGGAAAAGATACTTTACCAAGATTTGGCTATTTTTATTTTATTAAAAAATATTTATTATTTTTTTATGAAAATACTATATAACTTTCTATCAAAAAAAGAAACAATGTAAATCAAAACTTTAAACTTTGTAGAACATTTAAAAAAATTCGACGAATTTTAACAAATGTTGATCAAAATTATAAACTTTTTAATTCGATTTTTTAGATTTTTTTTTTGTAGTATACAGTTTTGTAGTCCTTTCGGACTTATCGTTGATTTTGGCAATTTTTGTTTGCGCATTTTCTTCGATACAAAATATGTTCGACAATATTTTTGTATGGGGAAAATGAGCAACACCTTTCACAAAAAAAATACCAAAAATCAACGGTATTTGCCAGGTACTTAAAACTTGCACTTTATTGCACTAAAATTATATGGGCTGGAAAACTGCATACTCAAAAAATTCTAAAAAATCTGATTAAAAAGTCGTCTCGTAATTTTGAGTTAGCGGTAACAGGGGATTTCCCCGACATATTTATATGTGTTTCATGATCACCATCCGCCAAGTTTGCGGTGATCGTTGCTTTGTCATTGCGAAAATTCCGTCGACGGCTTGTCATTGCCTGCCCCAGGGTACGCATTGGTCTGAAGTCAAATAGTAGGGTTCAAAAGAGCCTCCAAGTTGATATAATATTAAATTTTTTAGTAAAAATTGCAAAGAAAGTGACAATTTTGAATAAGAACAATTCTCCTGTTCTTTTTAATGAATTTTACACAATACAAACTTGGGTTCAACAAAATGAAAAAAAATTGCGCAAGAAGAATTTTAATTGTTATAATTGTTTTTTTTTGTCAACCAAATAACGATATAAAAGTTACAAAACGGAATTTTTTTTTTTTAACTGACTT